AACCCGTGCTGTTGCTGGGCCCCATATAAGGTAACGTCCCGAGGCACTCCATGCTCAGGAGTCCTCTTTATTGACCTATGGCTCTTTCCCTTTTTGAGCTTATTTGCTGAAGACCCTTCACTTCACTTGTCAGAGCTCTCCCAGTTTATCTGTCCGGGCATTCTTGATCGCATAGAGGCGTTAACTGATGTACACTGATCTTCGGTTATTGCCCTTTGTTCAGAGGATCCTGTACTCCGGCCGGACCCTATATGTTAGCCTGCCGGGGTGCTCCCGATCGTTCAAAGGTCCCACCATATTGGTGCAAGGTTCTTCTCGCTTGTTATGATGACCATTCACTGTTCAGTGGAGCCTCTTTTTTTGGCCTGCCACGGCAGTTTCGATTGCCCAGGTGCCGCCATTATTAGTCTCGGGTATTTCCATATTATAGGAGGGCCCACGCCGTTCGCGGGGACGCAATTCTTAATAATTTTTATTGGGGCTTTACTTATTAACGACCGATAACTGAATGTGCGGCTATGTCGATCACGCCGATGAATTCGTTATCGTTATTGTCGAACACAATTTTACACGCCGCGACGCCGTGCATCTTATTTCCGTTGTTCATTAAGTTTGTGACGATTATTATACTTGTACGTTACGTTTTAATACATTTTGAAGGATAGGATGTTCTGCATTCTCTTGCAACAGACAAAGCAAAAACTCTCCATCGGTTCCCAGCCATCAGCTGATCTCATCAACTGCTCCGCTAACCGTATATAAGCTAGGAATCAAGCTTATGCTTGATTTTGATGGTATTTAACAGCCAATCTAGGTGTGTTGCCATGTTTTCTTCGAGGTACTTGGCCTTAGAATGACAGGATCCAGTATGATCCGACAAAAATGAACAACCTCCATGTATTTGCGTTCGAAGCACACCTAGTTTTCTGGAGCTGCGAGCAGTAAGCTAGGCTCCCGTATACAAACTGCATACATAAGAATGTTAAAACTCAATGACCCAAATACGAGGATTTTTGGTGAAAAGAACCTGTAACAGAACGTAGCGACGTACCCGCCCGGACTCGTCCAAAAACCGACTGGCACGTGCGCGCGTCGGGCCCCTGCCGCCGCCTCAGCGGCCGACCCTTGGCCCCCGGCAGCTCGGGACACACGCAGTCACGTGACGCCCTCCGGCACCCAGTCAGATGCAGAGCTCGGGGGACAGCGATGGCGAGGGCGCACATCACGCACAATCATACCACAGAACCCCGAAATCTAGGCAGCTCACAAGCCAAGAGACCCCCAGTTTTCTAGCATTTTCGCATTGTACATGTGTGGAGATTGAGTTACCGTGAAGTTTACTGCTTACATTCACTCCGATATGGTGTCGTTAGTTCTGACCTGTGCTTTTGCCCGAATCGCACAGAGCGTTTAATAATGATGTATATATACACGCATATATACATATACATGTATATATATATATATATATATATATATATATATATATATATATATATACATATACATATATATACACATTAATGACGACAGACACATGAAGCTCGCAAAACTCGCACGGTATATGACTGCTGATTAACTCTTCTATATATCTGGCTCTTCATTTCATTTCGGCACCTTAAACACTTCAAATCAGGGCACTAAACACGAGTATGCAAACCAGCAATAAACTTTTCAACTGGACAGCACTCACTGTCGTTTTGACTTGGCAACAAAAGGCAATTCTTTAGCTGTGCAGAAGGCATCATTAGCACCACACACTGTAAACAAAACACAATCAACACAGCAAATTACACTGCGTGCCAATCACCAAATACCCGCGCCATTCATAAGCGTCTTGTTCCTTGTCTAATTGATTATTCGTGATGCTGCTACGGAGATAATTCAGTAGTTTGGTTCATTTCATTGCCTAGAAATCGTCTATGGTCATGAATGAGTAGTGCATCCAGAATGTTGAGTTTTACTGTTTTGTGTGTAGATGATAAAATTACAGTGTTTTGTGTAAGCGCTCGGGGCGCGAGGAGAGTATTGTGGTCGGGCTGTACGTGATTCCTTGGTGCCCTCTCCGTGAGGTGCTCTGTGAGACGTCGGAACAAAAATGTTGTAGTTACACCATTGTAGCATGCGGAACCTTGCAGCAACACCTGGCAGCGGCCAACAGACGGGTAGAAATGAACACGTACCGAAATCCGTACTTTCCAACGTTTCATGAAGTCAATGGGTATGCGTGTAAAAGTTGTCTCCTTGCCGGATGTTTCACTAGTGCAATTTTTAGATTGGTAGTCGGGACGGATTACGAGAAGGCGCAATGGGAAGGCGCGATGACGTAATCTGTCTTGCTGGCAATGCTGCAACTGCTGAACTCGTTCAGAGAATCAACTGGTCAGCCAACTAAATTGCATTGGTAAAACGTTCTGGTCAGCAGCTGAACGGCAGTACGTCTCATCCAGGGGTCCCCAGCGGCTTTTAGTCTAGTGATAGCCCCCGGGACCGTACGGAGACCCTCAGAAGGACGTATCACAGCCGGCCCCCTCCTCGATGCGGCTGGCCCTCTGAGACATCCAGCAACGGATCGGCGCAGCGGCCCTCGCTAATGCAAAATGGCTATTTACTGGCACAGGAATTCCAATAGTTGGCATCGAGACACTAATTCGCCTTATCGGTCCCTTGCTGAAATAGCTCCGTGTCCAACCAATTGCACATTATTATTCCCACATATGTAGTGATTGAGCGGAAGCAATGTTTGCAAATTTGGCGGGCGGCGGTTTGTTTGTCGGGACTGGCTGTAATACCGATTGGGGGCTTTACGTCTCACCGGCTGCTATGGTTAGTTCGAGGCGGAACGCCTCTATTACGTATTTATCAGGCATTAGGTAGGTAGGATGCCGTAGTGGTGTGGCCAGGACTCCACCCCAGGATACAAAAGTACAGAGATTAGCACCCTAACCCCTAACCACCATGCCACCATCGCTCCTCTGCGGTGCAAACTGCACCCATCTCGACAAACTCCAGACTGGCGTTGCTGGACCCCAAATTCTGTACTTAGGAGGTTCTGAAACGTAAAAGGAAGAAAGCGTGTCAAGATTGATGAAGTGGATGGCGAATGCAAGCTCACGATTCTTCCAACTCATCCAGCTTATATATCGCAAACCAGCTCAGTGACACACTCGGCTCCGCTGTTCAGATGGTGAATCAACAGTGACTTTAAAACGCGGCACGCGTGCAGTGTTTTGCGTAACGTTTGGAAGGCAGTTAAATACGTTCACAATCAACGTTTGCCTTTCTACTTCCTTTTACTTTCAACCAGGAGTGCGGTTCCCTATTCAGTTGCATGAGCTTCATACCCCGCCGTAACTTGGGTTGCAGCCTGGAGATTTGTGAAGAAGTGAGCCAAATTCGGAGAAACTTATTTGTTGGCATATTATCACACACTAACGTTGCATTTTAATCGCTCAGCCAACCGGCTTATTTTGGTAAACCACGCCCGCTTAAAACGTACCTGATTGAAGGGATGAATTGTTTGTAGGCTGGGCCATTGAACGTGTCTCACCAGGGAGCAGGACCCGGATTCAGCTGATGAGACAGCCCCACCCGCTCTCTTTGAGAGTAAAGGCATGTAGAATTCCGAGTCAGTCCCGTTTGCAGGAGCGTGTGAAAGAATTTACAATTGGGGGGAGGGACGGAATCAGTCAGATCAAATCACTAAAAATACAGCTCAGCGTGCCAGGAGCTGGAGATCTATATGCACGCCTGCCTGGAGCAGACATCAAATCAGTCCGCCTTATACATCAGTCATCAATTCCTTCAAAAAATGGGAAACATCACCAACACATACAGTAAATAATAGAACCAAATACCGCGGACAACTTAATCCATCAGCGACTGCCGAGTAACCAGCTATTCCCGATGCCACGAGCCAGGGACCAGAGTTTTGAATTCTTTAATGCGCCTACTGCCAAGGGCGTGCTGACGCGGCAAGGTTGGTGCGCTCAGACAAAACGTTGTCCATATCCATGCACAGTAGTTTCATTGGGCAGCACTGTACCGCATGACGTCACTCGTCGGCTGAGGGGGAGAAATCGGTTCCGCTAGCCCTCTACCGGGCCTTATCCGAATGATTAGATGAAGGGTTGCGAGGAAGTGGGACAGTATGCCAAACCGTGGATCTCACGCAAGCTGGACTTTATGAGCACTGGACTTCATGATTCTCCTCTGTCCAGGAGTCCTGGACGATTTCTGGACGTCATGAACGCTGGACGCTGCGATTCTGGACTTTTTGACCACTGGACTTCACAAACTCTCAACCTTTCAACACGCATCCATACTGGATGTATTGAGATGCACACATAACCAGATGATGACTGCCACGGAAGAGTAAATGTCAACATTTTACCCACCAAAAAGGTTCCGAAACGCCACCCATCGCAGGGAGCTTGGTCCAAAGTTCGTGCAGCGGAGTAGGCACTACCGACCTACAGCCCGTGATAGTCGCGTGAAGTGATAATCTCATGTAACGTACTAGCCGCGTGGTGCGCACTACCGACCTACATCCCGCGATAGTCGCGTGACAGTGATAGTCTCATGTAAAGTACTGAGTTGGTTAAAACCTTAATGTCCGTGGAACAACGCCGTCTCATGCTGGACGAGTTTACAGTCATCTTCCATCGCTGCTGCCAGCCTGCCCACAGTCATCGTCAGCTAAGCAGGCCGTCTCAGCACGTGTGATAGCGGCGCCTGATAGTATCGTGGTCAGACCGGAATTCAGTAGTGACCAAATAATAGCGCGTCCCGGAACATGTGATACATGGTGGCACCGTCGCAAGGCCCGAATATCTACCGACAACTCGGCAACCTCTGTGCCCGCCGCCTGCCTGACCGCATGCTGACCTGGTCGGATGACGGCGGCGGCTGCTGCGGCTCGTCCAGGGTAATATCAGCGGCGCGGGGCGCGCGGCGCCTCGCCGGCCTCTCCGCCGGCGGCACCGGCGCCGGCTGCGGCGTCATCTCGATACGTCTGCGGCAAGCGAGCGGTGGACGCCATTCAGTCGTGGCGGTCGGGACAGGTCACGGCCGACACCGCCGCCTGCCCCGGGCTCTGCTGCACCGAGCGGTCGGTGGTTGACGCTGAGTCCTCGGCTAACAGGCCGAGAAACTCATTTTGTACACGAGGATATCGTAGAGAAGCTGTTGGTCAGCACCACCTCAAACTATACGCTGCCAGTGTAATGAAGTTAGGAAGAAGTCCCACAAATGTTGTCTTATTCACGATTGTCTCATTTGGGTGCATGAATGTTCAGGATCTACAAAGTAAGCCGAGCACTGACGCCTGCCGAGAAGCCGTCGTCTCGGCCGCCAGCTCTGTCGTCTGGCCGGCCTGCTCGGTCGGAGGCGTTGCCGCCTGTCCGGCCGCTGCCGGCGCGTCTCCAGCCGGCGGCGGTGGCGGCGGCGGCATGACGTCTCCAGCCGGCGGCGGTATGGTGCCACCCTCGGGCGGTGGCAGCACGTGTGCCGCTGCCGACGCCGAGACGCCGTGCGCCGTCGGCTCAGCCAGCTCGTCGCCCAGCAGCAGAGAGCCGTCCCCCAGCTGCAAGTGCCGCCCGGCCGCTGCGGCGCCGCCGTCCCAGCCTGCCAGCACGCCGCCCATGTATGGACCGCAACACCAGCCACGCCCATGCAATGGACCAGTTCGAAACGTTATTGGGGTACCAAACCATTTGAAAGATGTTTCGCGCCCCGCGCCCCGTTTATTTGTTATCCGGATAATGCGTACAACCCGACGCCTTCACGTCAGACTGCTGATGGCTGGTTATGGAGGGAAATAAATCTGAAATGTAATGTAAAATAGATAATGACCCACAGGATTAAAAAAGGGAACTTAGGGAGATCAGTGAGAGGACAACACACAGCTGGTAGTTCGTCTCGTCGTCAGCCAATCCCGTTTGAACCAAGGCAGGGGCTGCAGGTTCAGCGCCCGGCTGCAGCCGCAGTTTATACGGAATGTCGGCCCATGCTTGGTGGTGAGCCTCAAACCGACCACCATTTTGCAGCAGAACAATCCTGTACTCTCCCTTCGGCCGGAAGCGCGGCTGGCGCCGGCGCCGTCTCCGGCGGCCGTACCACGTGAGCTGGTGTCCAGCACTAGACGCCACTCCGGCTCGGAGGTCTTCACGGGCGCCGCCAGTGCGCCGGTGCCGGCCGCAGCCCGCTCGCCGGCGGGCCGGGCTGGTGTCGACCGCAGCGGCGACAGGACCGGCACGGCGGCCGGCGGCGGCGGCGGTGGCCCGTCCGCCGGGGGAACGCCACGACCCGGCACCGGCGCCGGCGCTAGCTCCAACTCCCAGCTCCAGCTCCAGCAGCGGGTCCGCGAACGGCTGCTGCAGCGGGCGCTGGTGCGGCGGGCAGCACATCTCCAAAGTCCTGCGGCAGACCGCGCTGCCACGGTGGTGCACACGCTCCGGATGGCCAGACGGGAGACAGCGGGTGGCTGACCCACACACCCACTACATGCCGGGAGGAGAAGGCAGGAGACCGACCCACACACCCCACCACATGGCGGGAGGAGACGGCAGGAGACCGACCCATACGCCCACCACATGCCAGGCAAGAAACGGCAGGAGACCGACCCACACGCCCACCACATGCCGGGCGGGAGACGGCAGGAGACCAACCCACACACCCACCACATGCCGGGAGGAGACGGTAGGAGACCGACCACACACCCACCACATGCCGGGGAGGAGACGGCAGGAGACCCACCCACACACCCACATGCCAGGGCCGTGTTCCCCACTGCCAATCGCCGTCCACAAGTTGCAGCCGGTAACGTCATTGGTAAGTGCGTCACAACAGTTCCCACGGTTTAGACTATAGTCTCTGTTGTGCCATCATCAGCATGGTTTTATTTCCACGTGTTCGTTCAGCACGAACTTGTGTTTGCCTCAAGTCGGTATGGGAAGCCACGTAGGACGGGTAACAGACGGATGTCATTCGCACTGATTATTCGGCTGCTTTTCAGAACGCTAACACGCGCCCGGGTGGCCGGCTAGATACCCTTCGCTCGGGTGGGGGTCAATTTGACCCCTCCTGAGATATCGGGAACTAAGCAAGCTAGAGACACCAAATTTACGGGTTATCTCGACCTGTACGTGAACTCACTTAGGTCAAAGCTTGAGCTTCCTAGGCCATGACTTTTAGGTCAAATGAGGTCAAACAGGGTCAAATTCCACGTTGGTCTTCAAAGTGCCCCCAGAACCTAGGAAACCGTTTCTAAGCAAAAGGTCAAAAGCCCATTTAAGGTCAGTGGCCTTGCTTGACCTTCCAAATGTCATGGGTGACCAAAATCATACAAGACTGTTCTGAGTTTTGCATCCGAATAAGCGGCAAAGATTATGCTAGGCAGTCTGCTCCTAAAACAAATGTCGCCCTGGGTCATCTTAGGTCAATAAACTTTCTTACCTCTAAGAAGTCAATGAAAGATGCATACTGCGGTTTCTGCCGTCAGTAAATTCGAAATGAACACCACAAACTATCTCACAGAGCAAGCACTAGAGTAATAAATCAGTTTGGTTTTGACCTTGGTCTGACCTTCATATCTGACCATAGGTTCACGTAATTTGCTCATTCAATATTTATGGTGCCTACAAAGCATCTCAGAGATGTATGGCTTCGTCAAACACTCCGTTATTGTACCAGATTGGACGATTCCTTAGAAACTGCCTTCGCTGAAACCATAACCTGACTTTGACCTGCCGTAGATCAGTGACCCTACAACGTACATTTAAAATTTTGTATGTCCAACAATCCGCTATTCAATTTTCTACGGCTATGAAAAATTTGGCGTAGCTTTACCGCGCCGTTCGGAAACCATTCTAGAAAGCCTTTGGGGGGGTCAATTTGACCCCCACCCGAGCGCGTGTTAACCATGAGCTTTTAATCCACACGCTAGACCATTCATACCATTCCAGGATATCTACAGAATGGTTCGTCTCGCATCTATCCGACTGACGTCAGAGAGTTATCGTGGACGGAAAAAAAACTTTCGATTGGAAACTGGTGACCTCCGGCGTCCCGCAAGGATCACTCTAGGACCATCCTTTTTCAAATTCAACCGAAGCGTAGTGATGGCTGCGTATTTTTAAACCGTGCGATCGGTTTTAGAATATTGTAGCGTGGTCTAGACGGGGGCGGCCGATTCCCACACGGTGCGGGTCAATCGAGTGCAGCACACGCTTCTTACCTGGTTACTCACGCAAACTCCGTGCAAACAGCTTCTTTCTTATGGCAGCGTTCCGCTTAATTTCAAAATCCAATCCCTAGCAGGACGAAGAGTGAACTAACTCCTTCTGACAAATATCTTCCAAGGCAAACTGAACTCCAAAAATCTCACTCAGCTATTTCCCCTTGCTCGTGCCGCCCCAATCGACCCGTACCCGATTCATGTTCACTGCACCACGCGCTTTTGTGGCAGACAGTACGGAGCGGTCTGTTTCGCAGACGACCGAGCGTTGTGAACATATATGCCGCATCTTCACTTTACTTTGAGATGTTTCATCCTTCAGTAATGTTCATACTACTCTTTGTTGTGTATTTATTGCACCTTATTCAAACGACTTGGTCTGTTAGAGGAGCGCTGCTCTGTTGGCGATAAATGAACATACATCACTCAATAAATAGTCGCTTGTTTACGACCTAGGCACTCACAACGTCAAAAGTGGCAACTCAAGCCAGTACTTCGCTGATCGAACGTCAAAGGTGGCCACTCAAGCCAGTACTTCGCTGATCGGACGTCAAGGGTGGCCAATCAAGCCAGTACTTCGCTGATCGGACGTCAAAGGTGGCCACTCAAGCCAGTACTTCGCTGATCGGCATACGGCCCTGGCGAAACACGCATACCGTACGCCTAGTACGGCGATAACAGACAAACTTCTCGAGCGTCGCAGTCATAGGTAAACCATGCGCGCGCGCCCAGTTTTTTGTGTGAAAAGTACAGACATGACAAAACCCTTGCATGAACGCGCCACCACAATACCCGCCCCATACGACTGCGGCGACAGGCCCTGCTTCGACCGACCGGTGGCGCCGGCTGCACCGATCGCGGCGTCTGACCTCGAGGAAGGGCGGCTGGCCCGGCTGGCCGCTGCTCCTCCCGCAGCGTGATCTCGCTCGGCACCGCTACGTTGCCGTTCAGCTCGGGCCGGTGGTGGCTGGCCGGCTCGTCCTCCTGCTCCGCTGTAACAGGCGCCACGCGTCGCTTGGGTCCGTATCGTCACGCGCCGCTTGTGTCCGTATCATCACGCGCCGTTTGGGCCCGTATCGTCACGCCCGGTCACCACACAGACAGCGCCAGCCCGTCACCAAACGCGAAGCGTGATCGCACTGTTTTAAACATGTGCTGAAGTCAGGCAAACAGGTACGGGGTCTTCTATGTGAGGAGGGGGGGGGGGGGGGGGGACATTTGTAAACGTCTTCGGATTCGGAGTGTTAAACAAATCCGCAATGCAACGCCAAGCATTTTGACTAAATACTGGGGCAGATTGCATCTCCATTTTCACACTTGGGTTGGGAATTGGGTTCGGATTGGGGTTCGGATTCGGTTTGGGGGCTCGGGTCGGGAAACGAGGACAGGTGGGTGCCCTGCTCTTCAGCAGTGATGTTTGTCAACAGGATATTTACGCACGACACCCAGGTATGGACGGATACAACACACGTCAGGCTGCACGAGACCGGTGACGGCACCGGTGGGAGGCGGCCACCTTCACATCTAAACGCCAGAGGTTCCACGCTGGCACGGCGGACAGAGTTTTCCACCTGCGCGTCGCGCGAAGACGAGCCCGACCATGACTCACCGGCTGCGGTCGGGATGTTCGGCATGGTGCCAATGTCGTACAGCGAGCCCAGCTGGAACGGGTCGCCGGGCGGCACCAGCTCCAGCGGGTCCACCGCCAGCGTCACCTTCCGGTAGCTGGCCCTGTCACCGATGGTCGCAGCGCCCAGCGTCACACTTTCACCGTCCGGCTCTGCACGCCCGTACGAGGGACCAAGGCTTGAACTTTTGTCTTTAGTAGAATTTTGAGCGCTTTAAACAATGAACGTTTCAAGTTCTGATCGTTTTTTTTTCTCCAAACAGACGGGACGGCACGGAACGTATGTATTACGGAGTGCATGTATTACGGAACGTAATACATGCCATCCACCTTTATAAGCATTCATTGCTGGAGTGAGGCATTCACTGACATGACGGTCTTTGCTTCATTAAGGTAACAGAAGCGCTTTGCTTACGGCTCGTTCTCCAGTGAACCTGTGTATGGTGTCTTCATCAGCTTTTCAAATGCCGCCGCTACATCAACTGCAAAGAGATGCAGCATTTCACATTTTCTGCGCAGTCTGCTGCTTTCACTCAGTCTGCACCCCGATGCCAGCCAATCGAGCAAGTGTGTATACATTCAGTGCCATGTCTATGCCCTGCATGCAAAAGTGACGCATGTGCTAACCCCTGGTTCAATCTTTGTCAAACGTCACATGATGTCAAACCGAATCTCTCTGTGAATGTCTCAAGTGTCAGTGCAGCTTGAACGAACACCTTTATCGTCTGGGTTCTCCCTGCATTACCGCCCTGCCATACGTCAGATGCCCTCGCGGCTAAATGCGCCTCCACACTTCATTTTACCGTGGGATTACGCCGCGCCGTGATATGGGTTGTGTCCAGCGCATGCGTAACGCACTGCAGCACGACGGATACAATGTTTCGCTGCACGTGCAGGCGTGGACGCCGGCAGCGCTGATGCCACAGCTGGAGCGTGGCTGGACGCGGTGTGCCTAGGGGGAGCCGCGCCTGCCGCGATGTGCCCAGCTCACGCTTCACTCCCGGCCGTGCGACAGGTCTGCCCGGTGTGCCTGTTGCCGGGCTGTGACGGGGCTCGTGTGACCCGTGGCGAAGGCCGGCGAACGGGCAGGGCCGCGCCGCGCTCTTCCGCCCCGTCACCGACCGACAAAGCTGCGGCCCTCACGGCCCGGCGCGTTAAGCGAACACAGCCCAACGTTCTGCAGAGACGGCGATACGTGGCGTACCGGGGCTGATGCAGCGAACTGCGCAAGGACAAGGACGGCTACTGTGGACACTCGCATGTCTATTGGCCCTTTCATTTGCCAGCACGCTTGACCAAAGGCGTGCTAAACATAATCGCATACAACTGTGGATGTTCACAGTTCTGGTGGTGCAAAGCTTTACAACATGCAAGGTCATTACTAGACAGAAGTGAAAAGTTGCACGAAGAATGACCTATCGCCGAAGCGTGTGGAAACTTTTCAGATGAGCTTCAGAAGCAGCCAATGATAGTTCAGATCTCAATTCGCCTCAAAGTGGTATTATTGGTTGCAGCCTACTTGGCATATTAACTCAAACTTCCATTGGTCGAAAAGTTCTACGCAACTTCTGGCTGTTTGTACATGCCTACAGGACGCAAGTTTTGCAAAAACCGTACCTTCATACAGACGGCTATGCCCAACCCCAACAGCATCAAACTCCCTCCATCATTTGACAGTCGGCAGAGCACTAACATATTTACCGCTGGGATCTCACGCCACCTGCCCGTACTGTCGAGGCATGGCACGGTATGTGTACGCACACTTGGCATGTGTGTACCGTGCGGCGCAGCGGGGCTCCGCACCACTCACAGAGCAAGACGCCCGTCTGGTGACGGTGCACCCGGACCGAGCCGGCCATCAACATGCTGGAGAGGTAGAGGGAGAGGCGGGGCCGCGCCTGGTCACCGCCGCACGCCGGGATCCGTACGCAGATGTAGCGCAGGATGTCCTCACTGGAATATAGGCGCGGGCGGCTGGGAGGAGACGGCCCATCAGCCGGCGCGCCATAGAGTGTCGATGGGACATGGCGTCGGTGCCCGCGGCACCGGAAAATGGGATGCCTCGGTGCGGCATTCGGTACCGGGGCAGACAAACGCACTCTCCAGGTCAATCAACAGAGTGGACTCGGCCAACAGAGGTCGGCGCCGCGCCGGACCCGACTGGGAGACCGGGGGGGGGGGGGGGGGGGGGGCAGGAATTGACCGACACAGTGCTGGAAAGGTGACCTACCGTTAGGCATTCACAATCGGACAAAATGACTCCCACCTCCTTTGCGGTAACATCTTTCACTGCTATTGGTGTCGCATGCTTTATGATGCTGACTCGATAACTGCTGTGTAATCACATATTTGTACGAACTTGCTCCAGGGCGTTGTACGAATCTGCAAGTGCTTCGAGCAGATTTTACCACCTTGAGAAGCTTGGGCATTGCGATTCTCTTAATTTGTGAACTCATCTCCGATTTTTCAATATTTTTCGTCCACACCCCTACACCTCCACCACCACCACCAATACCACCTACACCACCAAACTCCTTGCACGAAGCAGAAGGCTCGGGGCAGAGCTGGGACCAGTCTATGTGTCCGGCCGGACTGGAATTAACGTGATCCACGTCAACTGGCGCCACAGCAAGCGTGCTCTCACTTATGTTTCAGGGTAAAAAATCAAAAGTAAGGTGACAAGTGTTTTGGAAAGAGTGCAGGCAGAAACGGAACACACCACGCGGCCTTTCCGCATTTGCTGTACTTCCGGCCTGATGGATTTCAATGGTGAACGGTTTTTGAACCATGCGGGCAGACTGTCAACAGGAGAAGCACAGATCAAGGCGGGTGCCTTCTCAGAATGCAAAGCCACGCACAAGCAGCGAGAGCGGTGCGTGCGGGTTCAAAACGCTGAACTACTTACCAGACCTGGGTACGTCAAGAGACATCACATCCCGAAAGTTCTTGTCGGTTCTGCGGCGATACTCCAGTCTGTCATTGGCTATAAGCCATATCAGGGAAAACTTGCCATTTCTTCTGTTCAGCAAGGAGTAGTCGAAAAACATGGCTGAAGCTTCAGGAAAGGTTATCTGTGTACACAGATAACGTCATCAGCAATTTGTCACAGAAACAGCGTCTTCTTGAGAGAAATATAGACGTGTTCCTAAAAACAAGAAGTGCTTCTTTTAAAGCGTTTAATACGTAAGCAGAATTGGGCCACCTACCCCCACCCACTTTTATTTAGATGGCATTACCATACAATTGATAACTGAGGCAGCCCAATCACCGGTATTTGGCAGTTTGCCTCGTTGTCGAACCACGCTGCGTGCACGGGACAGCGAGCAGCTGCGGTCTATGCACACGATGCCTGCGACCCATATGACATTATTTGGACTGTCTCATGCTGGGTTGAGTTGCACGCACTGACAGACGGGCTCCCATTAGTGCGTGATTCGCCGTGCAAAAGGTAAACGATACCGTTTTCTCTGCTGTTGTAATATGCTGTTTTAGCTGATAAATTCCAATTTCACCGTTACATAACTGTTCGAAACTCTCTCAGATAAGCAGTAGTGGATATTGACGCATGTGACACGTCATATCAGGTCAGATGGGTGAAGGCTAAGCCGCGTCAATATCAGGAATATCGTTAGAGTATATGTGGCAATAAGTTGCAAGTCGTATGACCTCAAACTGATAAAATTCGATCGCAAATACCGACGCATCTGTTGCTTGGGAGCTAAATGGCGCCGACATCAGTAACAGAAACACGTCATTGATTACAAACCATCCGGGTCAGAAACTTTAAATTCGGAGCATGAGTAAAAATAACGCGAACTCAGGAAACCAAAATTGTCACCATACTCAAACCCCTCAAAAGCTATTCTTCACGGAGCTAAGGGAAAGTTCTCTGAGGCCCCCTCGAAGGACGAAACAGCACGCCCGTCCTTGCTTCGCAACTCCTGCCCAATGAGGAACCAAACGGAGGGCTACCTTGTTACATGAGTGTGGGAGTTCGTCCCGAATCCACGGAGGAGGGGATTAAAGACGCTAGGAGTGGTTTATTTCCATACACAAGCCGTATACCTATTGCCTAGCGCTAATTTTCCCATGATTAGGAAGGGCTTTAGAGTCCTAAGCCCCCCCCCCCACACACACATACACTATACGCGTTTCCAAGCATATGCCCTTTTGGGACGGATAACGGGCCCCAGTGCGCTTCAGACTCCCAGGAGTCTACAGAACGGTTCAGCCTAGGAACACCGCATGTCACCGCCGCTACTCCCAAGACGGAATAGCGAATATCACATCGTGACCGTGCATGGCCAGACATACGTAACGTAATCTGAGATAACTGAGAGCCTGTGATGAGTTCGATGAGTTTCCCTGTTCCGCGAAGGTGAGACAATCTCCCACCAGGCAATGCTCCATAGCGTGTATCGAATTTAACACCGCTGAGCTTAATAACAGCTCACGCAAGCGAAGGCGACCGATTTGTATTGCGGGGACGCAGTGGTCAAACCCCCGCCATGAGTAACCGCGCGGGCCAACCGCGCCAGGAACACCAGGTTTGTATCGTCCAAGCTTATCATTCGGATTGACAAAACACAGGCGGTGACACATACCTGCGCGATGAATTGTTGTCTATTGGCTTTTCAACAGTCGCAACCACCTTTTTATTGCCGCGCTGGACCTCGACGGACAACCCGCCCACGGCCCCGGCGACCAACTACCGCACCAAATAACGCGTATGGACCGCGCGCTATTCGTAACAATATATATTTTCTGCTATTATCAAGAACTTTTTTAAAAACTACGACGCGTTACATCAAGGTCCTATAGGGAAATATTGAGCAACAGCGACCGGTTTTTGTTGCATGTAGTATGCAGAACTAATTTACGATGTTTGATTCCTCGCCAAGTTCTGTAGAAGATACGTGACATATGAACGATGTACTTTGCTAGCGAAAACTGCGAAATCCATTTTTTCATTCATGGGCCATAGGTCGTGATGGACAGCATTGCAGATTTCTTCAACTCACTTTCTGCTTTTTCACTTTTCACCAAAACGAGTGGTCGAACATCGGAATTATACAGAATTTAACCGCCTTTCGGGTCATGTATAGGTATTACAGATCATGGCAACCCATTTGGCGATTAACGCATCACGGACAAGGAGAAAGGTGAGGTGGTTATGAGTAGTCGAAACAAGGCCGCGCCCCTCAAATTTTACCATAGGCGTAGGAACGTTTAAAAAAGTGTGTGTGGGGGGGGGGGGGGGCAGGCTCAGGGCATGCTGCATTTTCTAGGAAGCAAGCCTGGTGGCCTGGTGGAGGAGGGGGTAGAGACGGAGACTATAGTCCGCTCTTAATTCACATGACATACTTTGGAAATAGTTAATATCATTGCTGGCTAGATATACATCTACAGCTGTTTTGCACTGGTGCACAATCTTCACTATTCGACTCATCTATGTCATTTGGCAAAGAAGGCTGCCCAGCTTCCCATGTTTATTCGTGCATTTCAACAGTTTACCCTGGGGACGCGAGATTCCATTAGCGTGTAGGCATTTTGCGTCAATGAGGAGGCATCAACACCCGGAGGTAGATGCCAAAATACGACCTCGACATAGGCTGGTCGGCATTTTGAATGCGAATCGAGTACCCATAGTGCGTCTGAATTTTCATGCGCCTAGATCTCGCTGATACTTTGATGGAGATAAATGTCGCAGCATAGTAGGCGGAAAAAATTCGAAAGCTTCAAATACTAACCGGCAAAAACAGGTTGAAAGCCATAAAACTGGAGTTTTCCCTTAATGAACCAAGTCACAGAATGAAAGCTCTTGTCATGTTTTCCTTATTTGAAGCCTGGTCTCATATGTCATCGAGTCATTTCTCTGGCCTGGCTGTCCACCCCCACCCCCTCCCCTCTTCAGGACCGATTGCAATCTTATGGTAAGGCCGCTCTGCTGCATATTTATTGATCACTATTACCACATGTTGGTGTGTAAGACATGTATTGGACACTTACAGCAGTGTCTTTTTCCGAATGATCTTCCCTTATACCACACCACCGCAGAAAAGCTGTCGGGAAGCCGCCTGCCTTGGACATGCATTGGTCCAACGAACATTCAATCGCCCCTCATTCTACGTAGCCGGCCTGAGCTACTCTTATATGCAGGCGGGGGCGCAGCTAGAGCCCTGCCAAGAGGGGGTACAGGGTTAACAAGAGCTTCCCTGATGGTGAACGCCCGAAAATTATCGCCAGACATAGCTTATTTGTCAACAAGGGACAAAACATATTCGTTTAACTGTTACTTCTACCTTATAACCAGAACAAAAACAGAAACTGGGAGCTACCGCGGGATCTATTGTTTGTATCTTTAGGTCAATAAGCTGCAGAAACCAGGCGTTGAACAACTGCGCGGGAGAAATCGCCAGAGCTCTAAATCTAAAACGGCTCGGTGGACTCTTTCTAAACCGACAAAATTCATAAGCTTCGTCAAATATTTTACGTGGGTTTCACAGCCATAACAAGGACCCCGCATAGGTATCTCGTAAAAAGAAATGTGTAAACAAAAGGTGCATGAACGTGGCCAACCCATTTTTGTGCGAAAACGTTGATGAAATGATGAAAATGAAAATAAAAAAATGAAAGCATTCAGTCAGAATCGATTTAGCGATGCAAATTATGTAGCGTAGCTTTGAACATGCGCGCTCGCAAACCTTAGCAACAAGACTCAACGTCAGGTGCTGCAGTCTCCGTAGGCTGCGCAGCGTTGATCCAGCGGCCAATTCTGAACTGTAGTCAACGGGTGTACGAAAATGATCATATATCAGAAAGGAGTATCTTTGAACACTTTGATCAATTAGTGCTTCAACTCGTGTACCATAGTCGTGTACCACGTGTACTGTACGCGTGCACGCAGATTTCAGCAGCAGCAGCCTCGACGCTCCGCATTGAGGTTCCCACAGGCCGCGCGGCGCCGGCCCCGCGGCTGGAGCCAGGCTATGGCCAAAAGGCAAAAGAAAAACATGACGCATCTCCAGGAAGATGGCTTATGAACTAGGTGAAACGGCATGCAAGCTTATGGTAGTACAAAAGTAAGATAAACGTAACTTAAATTTGAAAGTGGGGTGGGGGCAGCTAACATTGCCCCCCCCCCCCCTCCTCCTTGCAAAGCGTGGGGAGACGACTGGTCCCCTGATCCCCTGTTCCTACACCCATGAGTCGCAATCATAATCCTCGTGCCTCTGTTCTATCAACACGCACGAATATTTGCCGACGTTGAAACGTCGCGTTCGACAACATTTGTATTGGGTCATATGAAAAACGGCAGAAACACTCGTAGCGTTTTGACACATCACACAAGCAATACACCTCGCATCGCAACGGCCAGCAACTGCCAAGATTCCGCGCAGGCTTCAGGACACCGTCTTGCTGAGGTTGCTGAAGCCGGCTCCGAGGCAGGTGAGCGTCAGCTTCTCTCCTCCCAACTTCAGGTCCTCCTCCTCTTCAGTCGGCAGCACGTTCTCTATCCGGAACGTCGTGAGGAACGCGTCCCGCACATGACGAAGAAACTCAATACTGAAAAGATGCGACGTCCGTAAAAGCGCATTACGAAAGCGTTTTCAGTTGCGTGCTACCATTTGGACTCGACCGCCCATGACTAGCGTGCCATTTAATAGCAGATTACGCTGGGCTTAATTTATCACGTGGATGGCGGTTGACTGAAAAGAGTTCTTGGATGGCTCTTTCCCAGAGCTGATAACGTCGGGAGATTTCCAGTACTGCCTCGGAGACACAAAACGACAATACATGTGCAATATCACAGAGCGCAGTAACCATTTTCTAATGCCGCCAACTTGGTGACCAGCACTCACACAAATCAAGCAAAAACAAAAACAAAACAAAAAATACGACCAATGATTTTCTGTTGCCATTCATGTTGCGACGCACCACACATGCATAATTCTCTCAATTTCAGACACACACTAGATGTACGCGAGAGGGCACGCAATAACGGCGATGAGTCCGCTCGGCACTACCTGATCATTGCACTTTCTTTTGCGGAAGGGAGAGGGGCCGAGGGTGGCGCGACGTTCACACGGCCTCTATATCCGTGTTGTGACAGGTTGTTTCGCAATATCTCGGGACTTACACAAATCACTTAACACAATATAGAGTAACATCACGTTTACTTACGTGTATGGTGTGAGCTGACCCAGTTTGACCTTTGAAATGTCCTTCTGGCCAAGGCACATGTAGAGTAGCATGGTACTTTGCGCTAAGGAGTCTACGCAACCTCCCCTGGAATCAGAATATTCGACCAATAGTAGCGAGCGTACTGCCGTACCAACCACGGTCAGGCGGACACCAAAACCTAAAACCCACGACCTACACCCAGGAGCCACCTTAGTAGCAACGACGAGAGGGACCTGAACAGATGCGACCAGAGCGATAATATAGTTTAGTCACAAGAAACTCGTACATAACAACTCCAAAAAAACCAAACCTCGCAGTTAAATCGCAAGACATTCGTGTAGACCAATCGCGACAAACAAAACATTTCAATGTGAAACATCTCATCTTGCATTACAGCATTCCAGTTCTCTGCAATGGAGGATCTGCATGTTTGACTATATCACGCGACATCATGTCAGAATATGGTGCGCTGTAGGTAGTTCGGCCCTGTTCGGCCGTACCTGTAGATCTCGTCGAGCAGCCGCTCGGCGGCCTCTGTGCCCAGCGCTTCGGGCACGCTGGGCGGCCCGTCCGAGCCCTGCGGCCGTGACGTCACGTCTGACGTCAGCGTGCAGCCAGTAGTCGTCTCGGCCACCAGGCTGATGCCGAAGCCGGGCGACTTGCCGGCGGCGTCGCCCTTGTAGTGGTCCGTGTAGATGTAGACGTCGGGCAGGAGGCGGAGCAGCACCGCCTTGGCCGCGTCTACCATGCGGCCGGCCATGGCGGGTGAGACGCGCGCCGCGTGCGCCACGCCGCGGATCCGCTTCACCTTGCCAGCGTCTAGCCACTGCCGCACACGGCCACGGTGAGACATGGTCAGGTGGGGACACGGTCCGACACGGTCAGACACGTCCAAACAGGGACATGGCCCGTCATGGCCAGGCAGGGACACAGTCGGACACGACCAGACAGGGAAACGGTCCAGCAAAGCCAGACAGGGACACGACCAGGCAGGGACACGGCCAGACAGGGACACAGTCCGACACAGCCAGACAGGGACACCGGCCGACACGTTCGAACGGGGACACGGTCCGACACCGCCAGAAAGGAACACGGCCCGACACCGCCAGACAGGGACACAGCCAGACAGGGGCACGGTCAGACAGGGACGCGGCCAGACAGGGGCACCGTCAGACAGGGGCACCGTCAGACAGAGACACCGTCAGTCAGGGCCACGGTCCGGCACGGCCCCGGTCAGGCGTGGGGACGGACACACATGGACAGCCACTGAGCCGATGTGCGTTTAGCTGACAGCATGCGAGGCGAAGGCAGGTGGCGCCACATGTCGCGTGTCAGCGGCTCGCTGTGTGTACGGCGCGGCCTCCGTGGCAGCTGACCTGAGTGGCGCGCAGCGTTCTCTGGACGGGGCAGCTGAAGAGGACCTGGCCGCCGCCGCCGGGCGCCATGCCACGCCGCACGATCTTCAGCTGCAGCTGCTCGTCGGCCAGCAGCAGGTAGCAGCGCAACACCGGCAGGCAGCTGTGCTTCAGCTGGTCCACCGACGGGTCCACCTGAGGCAGCGGCTGGCGTGGCAACACAGGCAGCTGGACGGCAGGTAGTCAGATCAATGACGGCCTCACCGCAGGAAGCAGAACACTTTGCTTTAATGGCTGGCCAGCAAGACATCTTCAAGCGTGGGAGCTATCGGAGAAAACCTACAGTTTTTTTTCATCTATGATCCAACGAAATCCCACCTCAGGTTTGAGTCGCACAAGCAAGATGATGTCACGTGGCATCTGGAAGGTCCTGACGTGAAAAGGCAGTATGGAGTAGCATCAGATAATTGTCTCAACGCACGAATTTCAGGCGTCCATACATTATACATCTCTCAATAAATGGCGTTGAATATCAGCTGCCCACCACCTGCGCACTGATGCGGCGCATTGCTCCGTGCTAACCTCGCTGTTGGTGACGCCATGCAGCGTCAGGTGAAGCGGCTTCTTGCAGAACGGCGCCAACATCAGCACCGGCTCCAAGTAGTAGCCGACGCCGCGCTTCTTGCTGCAGTGGTGCTCCAGCTGGCCGCCGGCCAGCAGGCCCGGCACGTACGTGACAGAGGTACCCGTCTCGTTCACCTCGATCCGCGTGCCGTTGGTCAGCTTGTCCATCAGACGCAGGAAACTGGCCTCACTCTCTACACCAGACAAAAGACAAGCAGAGAGGGTCATCACTAGCAGAACAGAACTAGCTGCCTTATCATTGTGAAAAGCAGGAATAACATTTTGAATTTTCTTACGACGTTTGCCACTTGTCTGTGACTGAGACAGCTAAGGGAATGGCCGCGGTTAACAAGCAAGCAAGCTTGACATGTAAGTTACATGGATAAACTCCTTTGCAAACTGGTACTGGCTGCTCAGACTTTGGCACACTGGGATGGCTGACTGCCGTACTTCTTCATGAGTTCTTGACATCGCTGTGATAAATACACCACCAAACATTGTCATAGCATGTCCATCCTGATTGAGACAATGCAAAACAACAATAACTTACCATGCTTTCAATGTTTATATCCTATAGACTACATATGCTGCTCCTTCAAGAATGTGGAATGGCTTTTATTGGGCAATGGATTCTGCATCCACTATTGCTGCCTCTCCCCCCCCCCCCCCCCCCAATCTCACCTATCTGTGATATCTCATTAGGCATGAATGTGTGATGTTTTAATTGTACCAGGCATTAAGCATGAAATAATTAATCATATTTCTTAGCTTTCTTACTACCGTTTTGAGCCAACCTAGCCTACCCGAGCTGCCATTCCTTGATTCCTCCATCGGCCCTATGAATAGTTGTATGCAAAATGGGGACAAAACTACACTAGGTACCTAAAGTCCATCGCTCATTACTTTCTCGCAAAAATATGTCGGATCACCCACGTACACCACAAAACATAAAACAAGTAACACGTTTCGTCATATGGTGGTATCAATTTCTTTTCTTTGTAGGTTGCACTCCAGCTTTCAACGTTCTGCCACTTGGATGGCAGGTTACCAGCGTTTTTATGCTATGGCGCTCCCGGTTTGGGGTTCAATGTCTGCTGCTCGCCTCGGTCAAGATCAACCAATTAGCATCGAACCGGGCGGCGACAGTTCAGCATCTAGGGTTCCTCGACGTTAGTGTTAAAACAAAACTCCTACCAACAAGACATCTGTGTGATGATAAGCTATAATATTACTCCCACTGCCAATAGTTATGCACGACAATCGTGCTACGCGACAAAACTGATTCCTTCAGACTTCTATCCGTCATCACTTCTACTGCAAAAACTTAACCATTCAGTTTACACACGGCATTACTTCTATTGCGAAGACTTTAAGGCAACATTAATGCTACACGACAAAACTTATACTTCCAAAACATATACCCATCATTATTTCTATTGGAAAAACTTAGTGTTTCGGTATACGCGACATTTCTTCTGCTACCATACTTAGCCGTGGAGTGCAAAATGCCTGCACACCTAACAGAGGTGTAGAAACTATTTGCCCGTCAGGAGGGAACCACAACTGGGAAATGCTGCGACGAAAAGCTCGTGGTGGCGACAGAAACAATTGTGTGTTCATTACATCCGTTATTTTGTTGATTTGTGGTGCTCGACGTTTGAGTACACACTGATGTTTCGGAAGAAGAATTTCGATGACGGGTGCGATCTCTTAAGGCATAAGTTGCGTCGTATAGCACTAAAGACCCGTCTAAGTAATGGGAGAAAAAGCAATGTGGCGCTTAAGTGAACACCAGCTCAGGGATATAGTCTCCTATTTTGTTGGGAGAGGGAGCAGAGTCCCATTCGGGGTAAGCCCCGCAATGCATGTACTTCCGGCCAGATTTGGCCTGGATGTTTTTCCCTGCTTAGCCCCAAACATGATAGTAGCAGTAAAAGGATTTTGAGGAGCTTCGACCGCGCGGTCCTAGAGCGCCCACCCCAAATATGTTCTGCAACACTACAACATGGCACTAGACGTGTCTTCAGAAACCGGAATGACGCGTAGAACCTTGTCGTCGTGGGTCTGTCGATCACAATATTTGCAGCAGCCACCTCCCTCTTTTAGGCCTAGCTTATGAGTAGAAGAACTGATGAGTATAATTTGTGCAGTATCACCTGTATCCCATAGCACAAATGTTGCACAGGAGTAATGGGAGGCGAAATATATTGCTAACAGCTTAGGATGTTTTTGCAGTAGACATTATGCCAGACATAAGCTTTTAAAGCATAAGCTTAGTAGTGCCACAATAACATTGTATACATCTTTATATAGTGGAGTTAATACTGTGCACAAGTAAAGACTACAGATCTTTGCTGTAGAAATCATGATTAGCTTATGTTTTTGCTGTCATAAGCTTTTTTGTGTAGCACTCATGTAGTGTTTTTGTTATTGCATCAGAATAATGTTGCCTACAAGCAAAGATTGCATAATTATTTTCAATGAAAGGAAGTGGTGAGGATATGATTTTGAAGTACACATTTTGTTGTGCAGTGCTCATGTGTATAAGTCTTTGCAACACAGGTGATGTTGCACATAAGAAGCCTGTATAAGTTTCTGCAGTCAGTTACATCTCATACATCTGTTGTAGCACTCCTGTGGGTACAAGTTTTGCCATAGCATGCACATGATGACAGATATGTTGTCACCTCCCTTTTAGGGCTCATTGTCTGTTGCCCATCCAGTAGCTCAAGATAAACCAATCAGTATCAAACCTGGCAGCTGTCATCACTGCATCTGTGTACTTCAGACCTGGAAAATTGGCTGGGCAGGGCAGATGTCAGCTCTCAGGATCAAAGGGTGGTGAATTAGTCCTCAACAGATTATTGTGTAGCAACCACAAGAGAGCCAGAACTCTGACAGCATAAGTTCATATTTACCTCATGCACACTGTACTGTATGAATTTTGAACCACTCTCATGCTGTGAAAGCTAAGGCTAGCAATAGCCCACAGGCAGGACAGAATCATCCAGTTTGTAAACCATACCTTATCACAAAACTATTGCCCAGATGTTTGGTGCGGGCAATCATGTCCTAAATAAGGCAAAAAGCATTTGAACTAGGCTACAGTCCATCAAACCCACCCCAAAATATGCTGAGTTTGGGCTATACAAAACCAAGTACGAATGAGCTGCCTGACTTTAAAAAATGCATTTCCCAAAATTTGAAAAAGCTTCCTCAAATTGTGTCTCCTGCCCCGCATCTGTCAATCAACCCTGATTAAGCTTTTGATCAGATTTCTTGCATACTGGCTCATGAAGCATTCTACCATCATCATCATCAGGTAGGTAGACATCAGACTGAAAAAAACACATGCCACCCTCAACATGCCAGGCCAACCTGCGCAAAAATACACCCACTGCAATGGAACAGCCCATGTGACATCAGGCACTCTCATGCTCACCAAACTGAGGTCAGGACACTTAGTTTGGAATTTGTTAATAACTCAAACCAAAAAAATCTTGGGATAATTTTGGGCAAATTTCCCTACTCAGCAACATAATTCCTCACGGCATTAGCTGGTGTAGGTGTACATTCCTATCTAATGTTAGAAAAAATCATTGCACACCATTTGTCATGTTTAAGGTGGAACATATCATAAATAATCTCAAAACAGGTAGATTCATGCTCCTACCTTCAACCCCATATTCTCATTTTACTTTTCATTCCCACGCAAAAACATCATATTTCCCCACCATGTTGACCAATCTTCAAACATTACAGAAGACTGCCTGGACACACAAGAAACACATTTCATTGAATTCTCGTGACCTTGGCCTCATACATTTTTATGGTTCTTGATGCACAGTTATGTTGTGATCACGCAATAATGTTGCAATCACCGGTGGAAATGGCGCCCCTGCTGTGGCTGCTGCGTGTTTGCGCTCGGATGTTCGGTACCATAGTTATTTAAGTTCCAAGGTAAGAGCTTAGATGACCTGTTAAATGATTAATTATGACATGTTCCGCCTTAAAAATGATGATTGATGTACATTGGGTATTCTTCAAGTACTTCACCTTTTTTAGAAGAAGAAAAATCTCCACCGCGAGCGTTTTACGCGCAGTGCGGCACGGGCTCAACCAGCTCGCGTTAGCAGGATTGCCCGACTTTGAAATCATGCAATCCAAACGACATCTTTAGCACCAAAAATAAAGAGCAGGCAATTAACATTATACACTTCGTCGTTTCGACCACTGCTACTCACAATGCTCGCATGATTGCCTATCATCTTCAAGAAATAACCATCTGATAATATAATAATTTCGGCAACAAACAGGTCATATGATTTTTAACACGCAGACAGCCGACGATTTATAGCATGTGCTAAAAGGGCAACATAAGCACCAAATTACGTACATTCGAGCAGTTAAGAAAAGTATCCCAGTTCTTCACATTCGTGTCTCGAATTGATATTTCCAAACAGACAGCACAGAGAAAAACCCAACAATGTCGGCGGAACTGAAGCGTTTCCAGCAGTCTTAAAAAAACAGACCAAGCCACGGGTACCAAACACCAAAGCCAAGCCAACGTTTTCGGTACGGTACATTGACGTCTAATAGCGCAGTGCATCTCATACGCGAGTCCGGATAATGTGATTCACACTTATTAGGACCAAACACATCGTGACGACATTGTCGCTTAAACTACAACACTTGGATTCAATTAATGACTACTCCGTTTGCCGTGACATGCTGCCATCATGTGCAGAGGGACTGTCGTAGTACCCTCTTAAAGTAGTGCACCTCTTGTACAATTCCAACGAGCAAGGCTTGAAATCGCTCTGACATCCAGAGACATACTCTGCCGAGATAATATGCCAACAGCCACCCTAAGGAAACGGATCAAGCCTCGGGAAACGAAGACTGAAGCAAGGCCAGCGTTTTCGGTACGGTACATATACGTCTGTTAGCGTAGTGCACCTCGCACACGAGTCCGGATAATGCGATTCACACCCTTAGAACTGAACACGTCGTGCTGACAATGTCGATGGAACTGCAAGACTTCGGTCCGATGGATAAGACTCATGCATTGCCGTGAGATGCTGCAATCATGTGCAGAGGGACTGTCGTAGCACCCTCTTAAAGTAGTGCACCTCTTGTACAATTCCAACGAGCAAGGCTCGAAATCGCTCTGACATCCAGAGACATACTCTGCCGAGATATTATGCCAACAGCCACCCTAAGGAAACGGATCAAGCCCCGGGAAACGAAGACTGAAGCAAGGCCAGCGTTTCGGTACGGTACATATACGTCTATTAGCGTAGTGCACCTTACACACGAGTCCGGATCATGCGATTCACACTTATTAGGACCAAACACATCTTGCTGACGATGTCGGTGGATATGCCAGACCACGGTCCGATGAATAAGACTCGTGCATTGCCGTCAGATGTTGCCATCATTGGCGGACGGACTGCAGTAGCACCCTCTTCAGGTAGTACCCCTCTGGTATAATTCCAATTGGCGGGACCTAAAAACCGCTCTGACATCCAAAGACATACTCTACCGAGATAATATGCCAATAAAAATCCTAAGGATACGGACCAAGCCTTGGAACCGAAGACTGAAGCTAGGCCAGCTTTTTCGGTACGGCACATATGCGTCTATTAGCGCAGTGCACCCCATGCACGAGTCCGGATCAGGCGATTCACACTTATGGAAATTAAACACATCGTGCTGACAATGACGGTGGAACTGCGAGACTTCGGTCCGATGAATAAGACTGATGCATTGCCGTGAGATGCTGCCATCATGTGCGGACAGGCTGTAGTAGCACCCTCTTAAAGTAGTACACCTCTTGTATAATTCCGATTGGCGAGACCTAAAAACCACTCTGAAAGGCAAAGACACACCCCGCCGAGATAACATCCCGACACGAACCCTGAGGAACAGAGCCAAGCCCCGGGAACCGAGGACCGAAACAAAGGCAACGGTTTAGGTACGGTACATATACGTTTAGTCGTGCGGTGCACCTGAAACAAGAGCCCTTACGACGCGATTCACACTAAGTAGAAATAAACACATTGTGCCGACAATGTCGGTTGAGCTGCAATGGTTTGATTCAATGAATAAGACTCATGCACTGTCGTGGGATGTCACCATCATGTGCGGACAGACTGTAGTAGCATCTTCTTAAAGTAGTGCGCCTCTTGCATAATTCGTTGACGAGACCTAAAAACGGTTTTGTCATCCAAAGACACACTGTACCGAAATAACGTGTCAACAGCAATTCTAAGGGAACGGACCAAGCCCCGGAAACCGAAGACCGAAGCGAGGCCAACGTTTTCGGTACGGTACATATATATTTATAAGCGCAGCGTACCTTATACCATCGTCAGCAAGATGTGTTTAGTCCTAATAAGCGTGAATCGCATGATCCGGACTCGTGTGTGAGGTGCACTACGCTAACAGACGTATATGTACCGTACCAAAAACGCTGGCCTTGCTTCAGCCTTCGTTTCCCGGGGCTTGGTCCGTTTGCTTAGGGTGGCTGTTGGCATATTATCTCGGCAGAGTACGTCTTTGGATGTCAGAGCGGTTTCTAGGTCTCGCCAATTGGAATTATACAAGAGGTGTACTACTTGAAGAGTGTGCTACTGCGGTCCGTCCGCCAATGACGGCAACATCTGACGATAATGCATGAGTCTTATTCATCGGACCAAAGTCTTTCATATCCACCGACATCGTCAGCAAGATGTGTTTGGTCCTAATAAGTGTGAATCGCATGATCCGGACTCGCGTGAGGTGCACTACGCTAACAGACGTATATGTACCGTACCGAAGACGCTGGCCTTGCTTCAGTCTTCGTTTCCCGGGACTTGGTCCGTTTGCTTAGCGTGGCTGTTGGCATATTATCTCGGCAGAGAACGTCTTTGGATGTCAGAGTGGTTTCTAGGTCTCGCCAATTGGAATTATACAAGAGGTGTACTACTTGAAGAGGGTGCTACTGCAGTCCGTCCGCCAATGATGGCAACATCTGACGGCAATGCATGAGTCTTATTCATCGGACCGTGGTCTGGCATACCCACCGACATCGTCAGCAAGATGTGTTTGGTCCTAATAAGTGTGAATCGCATGATCCGGACTCGTGTATAAGGTGCACTACGCTAATAGACGTATATGTACCGTACCGAAAACGCTGGCCTTGCTTCAGTCCTCGTTTCCCGGGGCGTGATCCGTTTCCTTAGGGTGGCTGTTGGCATAATATCTCGGCAGAGTATGTCTCTTGATGTCAGAGCGATTTCAAGCCTTGCTCGTTGGAATTGTGTAAGAGGTGCACTACTTTAAGAGGGTGCTACGACAGTCCCTCTGCACGACATGATTGCAGCATCTCACGGCAATGCATGAGTCTTATTCATCGGACCGAAGTCTTGCAGTTCCATCGACATTGTCAGCACGACGTGTTCAGTTCTAAAGGTGTGAATTGCATTATCCGGACTCATGTGTGAGGTGCACTACGCTAACAGACGTATATGTACCGTACCGAAAACGCTGGCCTTGCTTCAGTCTTCGTTTCCCGAGGCTTGATCCGTTTCCTTAGGGTGGCTGTTGGCATATTATCTCGGCAGAGTATGTCTCTAGATGTCAGAGCGATTTCAAGCCTTGCTTGTTGGAATTGTACAGGAGGTGCACTACTTTAAGAGGGTACTACGACAGTCCCTCTGCACATGATTGCAGCATGTCACGGCAACGGAGTAGTCATATTAATTGAACCCAAGTGTTGTAGTTTAAGCGACAATGTCGTCACGATGTGTTTGGTCCTAATAAGTGTGAATCACATTATCCGGACTCGTGTATGAGATGCACTGCGCTAATAGACGTCAATGTACCGCACCGAAAACGTTGGCTTGGCTTCGGTGTTTGGTTCCCGTGGCTTGGTCCGTTTTTTAAGACTGCTGGAAATGCTTCAGTTCCGCCGACATTGTTGGGTTTTTCTCTGTGCTGTCTGTTTGGAAACATCAATTCGAGACACGAATGTGAAGAACTGGGATGCTTTTCTTGATTGCTCGAATGTACGTAATTTGGTGCTTATGTTGCCCTTTTAGTACATGCTATAAATCGTCGGCTGTCTGCGTGTTAAAAATCATATGACCCGTTTGTGGCCGCAATTATTGTATTATCAGATGGTTATTTCTTGAAGATGATAGGCAATCATGCGAGCATTGTGAGTAGCAGTGGTCGAAACGACGTAGTGAATGATGTTAATTGCCCGCTCATTACTTTTGGTGCTAACGCTCGCGGTGGAGATTTTTCTTCTTCTAAAAAAGGTGAAGTACTTGAAGAAAACCGTACATTGCTCTTTCTTAACATGAGGTAGGAATGCATATCATGACCTATTGGCTGTCTTTGCAATTAAGCTGGCAGCAACATGCACCAAACTACCAGCACTGGTACTGAATAGCTGGGTACCTGATGGGTGTGAACACATGTGACTATTCACATGTGACCTTTACAAATTCATAAATATCCACCCAGGGTGACACTTCCTCCCATGATGTGCATTGAATGTATTTTTTGCAGTCTGGTGTCAGCATAGTCATATTACAATAACAATTTCAGCCCCCTACCAAAAATGGGTTTGGCACATGGTCAGCACAGAATCCAGCGCAGAGTCAATGCTTCATGGCATTGTGATGCTCCAGAAAGGAAATTTCAGACAATTTTTCACAAACATCAAGCAAGAATTCAGTGCAGTTTAGCTTGGCCTGAGTTTGGCACATGAAACTGTGAGGGTTAATGCACCACTGTGCAGATAAGCACACCAATGTGACGCAAGCATAGGCACGGTGAATAGATTTGTGCACTGGGGTTGACTGTTGCCTACAGACCCATTGACTGTTGTCATCAGCCTGCCCATGAAGTTAGCAAGTTGGAGAATGGTACTTACCGTCAACACCAGGGTCGTCATTTCTACCACGAAACTTCCTTATTTTAACCACTTTTCCACTCAAAGTGGAGAGCACGATTCTCATTCGGAAATTTTTGCAGCCTTCATAGGAGAGAGCCGATGAATTTTTGGCCTGGCTCATGACGGCTTAATAAAAATATCGAAACAAAACCAGCAGCTCTGTATCTATAAGTTTCCACCACCTTCACCCCACGGTGGAAGACCGATGAAACGATGTTAACTTCCACAACCCCTCTCCGCACACACCGCCTCCAAAGCACCCGCCGCTCGGCATACACGGACCACACACGCTGTAATTCATTCCAAAAGCGTCAGGACTGTCTTCTGAATGCCTGCTGCAACGTGCTCCCTAAAGTGCTGCAAAAAAGTCAGCAGTCAATTTTACAAAATGGCTTGAAAATTTTCCCAACAATGTGCGTATATCAAAGAAAACTAGTCACTTGATACGATTGCAGGATATTTGACGACGTTTCAGCTTTCAGTTTACGCCCAAGTGATCCGAACCCACTAACTCGCCATCTGTTTTGATGGGCCTTATGCGTCGTGTCCTGCATACGTGCTTTCTAATGCACCTGGTACATCGAAATTATGTGGAAGCTCAATTTGGGATGAATCCCAATTGGTTGACATTAGTAAGGTTAGGTTGCTTATCAAAGCCTTCAAAATATTCCAAAGCTGGTGTATATTTGGTATGAATGTGCCGGCACCGTTATTCCAGCGTAATGCAACCTATTACTAAAAGACAGTTGACGGCATCTTTGACAAATTTTGCCGCTTTCGCCGCAGCCCTGCTGAGCGCGTGTGCGATTGATGGCGCAGCCTTGCCGGCACTGTTTTAGGGCATTGGCCGACATTCATTGCGGGAGGTTGGTTGATTCGAGTTGAAGTTAGTCAGCGCTGCCGAATTTTTACACCCATCTTTTCCCGCCTAATCGTTTTATTGAATCTGTAGGCAATAAGCATGGCGGATGACATGAAAGCCGCTGTGGGCGCCCTCCTGAAAGGCATAGACAGGTGAGAGAAGGATCCTGGCCTGCCATCTGGTAGCCACCCAGACTGCTCAAAACGCATGTTAAGCCGAACATGTCCGGGTTAGCAATGCCATCACAACCAAAATTTTAATGCGTGCACATAGTTAACGTGAATGTTCAGGGTAAACACATGGTCAGCATGAATATCAGCGCAAAACAAACCAGTGTTTATAGGCAATGTGATGTTTCAAAGGTATGTTCTCAAATATGGTAATTATGCTCAGGAAAATGTGCTCTGGATATGTTTTCTACAGGAAAATGAAGCATCTTTATCTCTTCAATTTTTATGGCCTGTGTTAAGTACTCATGTGGATGAAGTCTGGCTCACCAATGTTGTACAGGAGTCTAGGGTGTAGGTATTCATTGGTACCTAATGTTAGAAAAACCATTGTACATCATTCATTGTGTTTAAGATGGAGCATATTGTAAATAATCATAAAAGAGGTATATTCATGCTCTTACCTTCAAAGTTAAATGACTATGGTAGTGAGCTCCCAGGCGCCGCACGCACCCCACACAATCTACAAACAATATGGAAGACTGCTTGGATACCAAGAAGCATATTTCATTGGATTCTTGTTACATTGGCCCCTACATTTTTATGGTTTTGATGTGCAGAAATGTGATTGTGCAGTAATGTTGTGATCACAGGTGGCAATGGCCGGGGTCGTGGTTGCTGGGTCTTTGTGGCGCTGGGATGTTCACTATGGTATTTATTTAAGTTCCAAGGTAAGAGTTTAGATGACCTGTTTTATGATTAGTTATGACATGGGCTGCCCTAAAAATGATGATTGATGTACAATACTCTTTTAACATGAGGTAGCAATGTATACCCTGACCTGTTGAGTGATCAAGTGCCTGTTTTTTTAAGCTCATGATTGTTTAAGCCTTTCATGGCCACATTTTGCATGCTTCATTTTGACAGCACAAGCTTGACACCATTACATGTATCTGCTGGCAAGTTTGGCATCTGCTCATTACTAAATTGTATTGATCATTGCTACTGAATGAAGCATCCTGGCCTTCATTATTGACTATAGAGAACTATAAGTTCACCAGTGTGTGATGCTTGTACCCTTGGATAGCTTGTCTACAAATCTGCTTTGCTCCTTGTGTTGCCCATCATTTACCTGAGGATTAGCTGTGTAGTCTTTGAAGCATTTTTTAGGTGTAGAGTCAGAGAGATGGCTACTGCTATATCCTACACACACCAAGAGAAACATTTCTACTCAGATTCAATTTATGTTTTCTCAAAGTTGTAAGAGGGGGAGGCCAAAGCCCCTCTGAGTATGCAACATGGCTGCTAGGGACCTGCTACTATACCATTGTTCATCCACCCTTTGCAAAAGCTGACACTAGTTTGATGTATGAGGTACCTGTGGATCCCGGCACATTCTAAACTCTGGCATTTTCTGCTGTAAGGTTAAAATGACCTTTGTTTTCAGGCAATATACAACCAAAGACATGCAGCCCAAGTTAGAGATTCACAACTGATTAGGCCAGGATAGGGAACAGAAATGGAGCGGGTGTAAGATAAATGTAATCTAGCTCAGGCTGGGGCTAGTTTGGGTGAATAGAACTGATGTAAGGAAAAGTGGTGAGCATCTCAACCACTGCAATGAAACAAGGTGGATTGTGTGCTGTGAAACCGACATTCCCCAGACCTTGGGATGTGGTGTGCTATTTGCAGGCTTCGTTGAAACTCTTTCGCTCAAAATGATGGCTATACTCATGCTTTATTCCATGCTGCAGGTACAACCCCAAGAATCTGGTGATGTTTGAGCAGTATGTGGACCGGCAGTGTGCAGAAAACATGTATGACCTGGAGGCGAATTTGGCGGTGCTCAAACTCTACCAGTTCAACCCCAGTGAATACAACCCAGCTATCACACAGCGCATTCTACTGAAGGCAATCACCAACCTGCCACACACAGATATCATCCTGTGCAAGTGTCTTCTGGCTCCAGAAAATGTAAGGATCCGGCTATCTTGGTCAGGCCAGTGGAGTGTCATGCTGTGATATTGGAGATGGTCATGAAATGAGATTCATGTGTTTTCTAAGCCTAGTTGTCTTACCTGCATAAATATGTTTGCCTTTGAATAAGTACTGCAAAGGGTAACTAATCATATTGCATCATAAAGAAATGTGTTACAGATGGAATAGTAGTTCGGGCTGATGTCCTCATCTGGCATGCTAGTATGCAGTGTTTGAAATTCCAAAGATGTTCCTGGTAGTGGAGAACAAATTTCCTACAGTGGAGTACAAAATTATCCAAGTGCTGCAGGTCATTACAGTTTTATTTAGGTTATCTTTGAGAGATACCTGTACAACAGGTGGTACTCAACAAAAGCACAACTTTTCAGGTTGAGCAATTCTTGTAAAAGCACTTTAAATGAAAGGAAACATCAGTATTAAACATAGCACACTGAAACAACAGTCTCATATTCTGTTCTATGAGACACATGTGTGTATATATGGGTTTGCAATTGGTGAATTGCTCTGTGTATACACCCTTCAAAACAGAGGGTTATTATGCATCGGGCTTATACACTAAAATGGCGGGTGGCTACACACCAGCCTTACATGCTCTCCAAAATGGAGGGTGGGTAAGATACGCCCAGCAGAGAAAAACGATGCACAAACAAATGCAAATGAACATGCCACAGGCAGCCACCTACTCATGCTCAACCACGATCACGCTTTTCATGCTCCACCACGGTCACGCTACTCACGCTCCAACACGGTCACGCTACTCGCGCTCCAACACGGTCACGCTACTCGCGCTTCAACACGGTCACGCTACTCGCGCTCCACCAGCTAACTGGCCTTAAGAACAGCTAAATACTCATGCCCTCCACCTTCCAACTCCCGGTCAACGCACGAGGCCCTGCATGTCCCACCCAAACAAAAGAGACAGGCAACACTCTTAACTGATTTACCGAGCCAGCACAGGACAATGCTTGACAGACCCGTGCAAGCCGGTTAAGAGGAATTGGAGTCAGTCACTCCGCTGACTCCGGCGGATAACGCAATGTATTAATGGATTCTGATGCGATATCATTATGAAGTATGATAATTTATGTTGCAATTAATTGGTGTTTTTGTCCTAATAAACCCTTCTCCGTAATTTGCCGGACCAAAGTTATGGGTTCATGTTACTCTGGTGTTCTGGGGTTTTTGCCGGATTGAAATAGCTGTCTCCGAACAGTTTTTGGCTATTTATAGCAGCATTTTTTGTTTCAAAAGGGTTTTTCTGTAAAGTTTGAATTACCAGCTTTCATTTCACACCCTTAAGTGACAAATTTAAGTTAGTTGAAATCCACAGCTGCCGTAACATTTTTGTGCTCCGGATACCAGGAAGTGGCCAAAAATCCAACCACATGACGGCTCTGGATGAGTACAAATAAGTCCTTCATAATCGTGATGCCCATCTCTATACAGCTTTCCTCCAAATGTTTACAAATTTGCTCAAAACATGAGCGCGAGCAGAATGTTTACGCCCTTGACAAATCAGTCACGGAGAGGCGAATCAATAGAACCACTTGGAGAGTTTTGCTATGCTCAACCTCCAACCTGAGTTGGGAGGCGGGCGCAAACCGCTGAATAGTTGAGACGTTTCCGGCGCTGAATTGCGAGTGATTCTCTCATTTGCATTGTCATGACACGGTGATGGCGCGTGAGTAGGCAGCCGCCTGTGGTAGGTGATTGGTCGTACGGTTTTCTGTGACTGTTCGTTGCATCCTTGGCAATTAATGCGGTTCGTCGTCAACGGTAGGTTGTCATGTTCAAGTTTGAGTTGGTCTGCGTGGGGAATAAGAAGTGAGAGCTTTGCTAGTCTACAGTCCGGTGCGATTCTGGTACTCGTTTCTCATTTCCCGGCATTGTTCAAAGTCAATTCGATTCCCCATTCACACACTTTACTTTCCACATTTCAATACATGGTTTATGATATACCTAGGTGGCAGCACAGGCTGTTTGCTATTGGGCATCGTAGTCTGGTGGTTGCAAGATTTGTGCTCTTGCAGATATCAATACATGGCTCCTGATGGAGGCAGCAAGTCCCAAGCTGTTGCACCTTCTGGTTTTATTTTATGTTGGCACAGAGAGGTAAAATGAGTTTTTCCAAAAGCTGTTTTTGTTGCATTTTTGTTGCAGTACAATTTTTTAAATTTTACCTAGTCACAATCCTGGAGCACAAAATCTCCTGGTATACATTATACCACGAAACGTCAAGTTTTCCAACACTGCTAGTATGTACAAAACGTTTTGGCCGGTGCATTATCAGGTCATGAATGGTGGTAGTTCAAGCAGTTACTATATCGGTGAGTGTTTTTTTTTTCAGTAAGCCATCTGTTTAGTATGGGACAGTATAAACCTCTAGGAGCACCATCCCCTGCCCACATTTTTGAACCATAGCTGGCTCCTGACAGAACATTAAAACTGACATGATGCATACTCACTGAGCTCCTCTCTCGCCCCCCACCTTCACACCCATAAGAAAATCCTGACTTCACTCCTGTGATCCTCTCATGATAAAACAGATCCTCATGTGGTATATCATCCTTATCACTCTCAGCAATACCGAGTTCATTGCTGCTGATGTGCGAGTACTGGAGTTGTGCTGTAGCGACTGCAGCGGTGGCAGCGGCTGTGACCGCTTGGCCGGCTGGCACCGCGACCGTGTCTGACGGGCGGTGCTGTGCCGGGTCGCGCTCCAGATGGAGGAGCCGGAGGTGCAGGACATCCTGCGGCTCTCCACCCTGCTCGAGCTGTGCCAGTTCCAGGCCTTCTGGGAGATCATCGTCGAGCAGCCGTCCATCATCGCCGGCATGACGGTGAGCTCCGAGCGCCGGCCCACCGGCCGCCCTCGGCTCCGGCGCCGCGGGCCGCTCGCGACCGCTGACCCCGGGCCAGCGGCCAGCGATGCAGCAGCCCACTCTGTCTCGTTCGACTCTTGGCTCAGAACTTGGGTCGCTGTACCAAGTGCAGATCGCCCTGTGTATTCTTTCATCCGAACGCTGCGGGTACTTTACGTATTTTGGGATCAGGTACTGAATGAAGCTCGACTTCCAACGTTACAGCGCAATGGTCAGGAATACCAACAAAGCCTCACTGTCAGCGCTGGACAAAAACATGTGGATGTGTATGCCTTGTGGCCCACATATTAATGTGCTTTCAAATGTTTCAATATTGACTCTGATGTTCTTTGATCATGATTATGTAGTAATGATAGCTGAGCTTTTTTTGCAGCCGTTGGCGCCCGTAGACATGATTATTGAGCAACCGCGCCCCATCTAGTTATGTGTAGATGTATGATTGAGGAACGATTTTAAGAACCGACGCTTTTAAGGATCTTTTCTCGCAGTGTTTTTCAGTACTCGCAGCGTGTGTATGACCGGACATTTTTGTGAGGCCTTGCGATATTTTACCTAATGCTCAAACGTACATGTAGGTAAGTCTCCTAGCGTTGTTCGAGTTTTTCGCCGAAATAACTGACCACCGGTTGACGGTCCTGACCGTTCGCAGGGCTTCGAGGACTCGATCAGGAGGTACGCCTGTCACGTGCTCAACATCACCTACCAGCGCATTAGCAAGGAGCTGGTGCGCTCCACCCTCAACGTGACCGGTGAGGACGCGCGCCGCCCGTCCCTCTGTCTGTCGGTATCAAAGTCAATATTGAAACATTTGAGTCAATGTTTTTATGTCTGTCTGTCCGGGGGTAGTGCAACAGGCACTGTTTTCGCCATTGGAGTTGGATCATCTGCAGCCTAAACGTGTGAGGAATTTTTTATGCATTTTTCAAAAATGAGCGCGTGCTGAGCGAAACACGAGCGCAAAAATCCCCGTAGGTTTAACACGGGCGACGCCAATTTAGCGATTCCGGCCGACGGACCAACACGTTTGCTTTCCGGAGCCGTATCCTGGTAACCAAGGGTTGCAGCGGCGGGAAACGTGCACGATCCGATAGAGCACGGAATGGGTCATCGCAATCGGGTGAGTTTTTTTGCGTCACGTGACACGTAGCACGTGCACACGTGTCGACAATTTGGGATCGGGCCGTTTTGGCGCAGTTTTACGTTAACCTTTTATATCGGTACGGAAAGAAGGTAGAGTTCTGAATTTTGTTTCCCAACATTTAAAATTGAAGCGGCTACATTTCCACTGCGCATTGCGAGTTTTTGCAACGCACTGTTGCGCTGCCAAGTACATTACAAGTTGTGACGGGCTGAGTTTTCAAAACCGAAGCTGAATACAAGCCGCTGCCGTCAACAAAAGTATGCGTAATGTAGCGTTGGAAACTACATCACCGTGTCGGCCGATTCGTCCTGTCTCTGTTGCACTCTTTTGTCGACCGCATTTTAAAAACTGTCGCTGCCAAACGGGTTTAGGCTAAGGGGTTGCATGACGTATTTTCGCCGCGACGGCGGCAAGTTACTTGCGGCGTACCCCGTACCCCGACTCCCGGCGTACACCCTACGCCTTGAGGATTCAATTGGCGGTTTGCGCGACAGGTGTTCGACTTTGTTCATTAAGCCACGCTTTATATTAAAGAACGAGCACCCAGGCGCGTTTTCAGTCTGTCCGGTGGTGGGCCGGCGGGCAGGGCGGGCGGAGGGCAGGGTGGTGGGTCACTGCCCTAGGGGGAGACCTCGGCTTATGCAAGGTGGCCGGCGGCGCACTGTGCCCTGCGGTCGCCGTGCTCGCACAGGCGTGGCTTTTGTTTCCCGACATTTACAATAGACGCGGGCACACTTTCAGGCGCATGGCGAGTTTCTGCAACGCACCGTTACACTGTAAATTGCGCGACAACTTGCAAGGTGCCAAGTTTTAATAATCGAAGTGGTACGGTCGCACCTATGACACGGCATGGGATCACAGATGGATTTTGCTCTCTTCCACGGATTTGCACCTTTTGTGCCACATTTCTGCACCTATGGCACTAACACACCCGGGATTGGCGCGCTTCAATGATGAATGGGAAGAGCGAAATGGTAATGTTTGGCGACACGTGCCACATGTCGTGGTGCCCATGTGTTTAACTATGGATTTATACAATTTCGGTATCTTGAGGGGCTGCACGCTTCCGTGATATCTCAGAAACTAGGGAAAAAGTGCACAGCGACCGGCATGCTTCGATAAGTAGTCTAACGGGCAATCACTGAAACGTGTACGATGTCACGCTGCACGTGGCATGTGACACGTGCACATTAGCTGTGAACCTGTATTTTGTCGATCTTGTCTTCATTTTTACGCTTTACGCGGGTATTCCGCTCTTATGGCACACAGTAACACGAGACTGGCATGCCGCGATAGGCCATTGGACGGGAAATCCCTGGTCACATGTGTCACAAGTGCGGCGTGGCATGTTGCGCGTGTCGGGCACACACGAGCCAGGAAGATGATTTTTGCTGTTTC